ATGGGCAGTGCCAGCCACGTCCTCGGGTGCCAGTCCCTTTCCGCGCGCGAGCCCCGTACCTCTGTGCTTCTCTCCTGCAGCTTCTCTGGGTCTCAGTGTGCCTTTCCTTCCTTCTAGTTGTAGAATTTACAGTCAGCCAGGCTTCCTGTGGTTCTGGATGAAGTCCGTATTGTTTCTCTGAGGTATTAATCAATTGTTGTGAGCAGCATTAATTTCCTGGTGTTTATCTCTGCCGCCATCTTAGTTTCTCCGGTCCTATCTTCTTGACACCTTTGGAAAAAAATATTAATCAAATGAGTGGAGAATCATATATGAATGTCCCTATTTTAAAGTTACTTGTAAGATATTTTTACATCTTCAATTTTTAAAAAGCTGTTCCTGTGGTCATGAACATATACTACTGGTGGGAATGTAAGTTATTACAACATTTCTAGGGGCCAGTTTAGCATTAGACATAAAGCACCTTAAAATATGTGTATCTGTGACCTAGATATTGGGCTTTTTGGAATGTAATGTAAGCATAAAGTTAGGGATATTAAAAAAAACACCTATGTTCAAGGAATTTTGTTTTGCTGGGTTATTTATGGTAGTAAAGAGTTGAAGCAACTTAAATGTTCAAAAATAGGAGGTTGTTACAGAAATGAGTATATATCTGGAATACTATGCAATAATTTAAAGTTATATTTTGAAGACTATTCAAAAATATGGCAATTTTTCCATAATATAATTGTAAAGGGAAAATCTACAGTTTTCCTTCTGTGTGTGTCCCCTCTACCCTCACACTACTCACACACTCACAACACTTCACTTCTGACATTCTGGTCACTTAATGTGTGAGGCTTCTCCCCATAACAAGCAATTCTCTGTGACACCAGCTGGGCGTCCTACAATTAACTCAACTGTGAGACTTCCTACCTGGAGATAATGTCAAATCCCACAGGTTAAGGGCTCAGTCCCACAAGACTGCTTGCACCCACTTCAGATGCCAATCACAAATTGTAGGTCCCTTGGTTACCCACAACTACTGTCTGATTTGGCTACAAATTGGAGATTCCCATGACCTTCCCCTCAAGTTAGATTAATTTGCTAGAATGGTTCACAGAACTCAGAGAAATATTTAACTTACATTTACCAGTTGATTAGGGGATATGATAAAGGATACAGATAAACAGCCAAAATGAACAGATATTTAGTGCTAGGTCTAGGATTGTCCTGAGAGCAGGGACTTCTATTCCTGTGGAAATGGGGTGCATCACCCTCTTGGTGTGTATATGGTCCCTGTAGAGATGGGGCACATCACCTTTCTTGGTATGGGTTGGTATGGAACACCACGCAGGTGACACACCCCATCCTCACAGGGATAGAAGAAGCTTCTGCTCTCAGTAATATTAAGTGAAAAGGGTGGAATACCAAGTTGTATGTCTAATATGATCCCAATTTTGTAATAATAATAATAATGATGGTATTTTAACATAAAATTATATTTTAAAATATATTCCATAGAAACAATTCCAAAAGAAAATACACAACTTGATAACAATTGTTATCTCTAAGTAGTGAGATAATGAATTATTTCTTCATTTTTTGTGTGTATTTTCAGTAGGAAACATATTACATTTTTAATTTAAAATATTTAATTTCTTAGTATATATTGCTTCCTAAAAGTGACTCAATATGTAAATGCCCATGAATACTTTACTTTATTTAATAATTTATATTCAGTAAATGAACAGCAGAGGGCATGAGAGAATTTTCAGAAAAATGTAACCTAAACAAGGATTACGGAATTCAGCTTCAAGTGAGGGAAGCCCTAGGAATTTGCTAACTTTCTTAATTATAAACTTTAAAGATAAATGTATCTTACGACTTTTTTTGAAATCTTAATAAACTCAATAATCTGAACTACTACCTAACAGTACTAAGAAGTATTTAATGAATAGGTAGGTAGTCCCCATTTGAAATTTGCATGTTATTTATATCCATGCAGAGATACAGGAAAACCTTTGTTACTTAATGTAGTCAAATTTTCCCACTTTAAATACCTTGAAAAGTTACCTAGGTTATAAATATCTCAGGAAGATTCTTGAGGTAGAGGGATGTAGTACTTTTTACATTAAAGCAATATGTATTTGTGTGTGTGTGTGTGTGTGTGTGTGTGTGTGTGTAAGATAGTATTTATTGCACCCTGGCCAAGTGGTTCAGTTGGTTGGAATGTCACTTATATACCAAAAGATAGTCAATTCACAGTCAGGGCACATACCTAGGTTTCAGGTTTGATCCTTGGTTGAGGCAACCAATGAATGTTTCTCTCTGCCTCTCACTCTCCCCCCATCCCCCCGCCCCCTTCTTCTCTTTCTTAAAAAAAATAAAAAATCAATAAAATAAAAAATCATCCAGTGATGATTTTTTTGAAAGATAGTATTTATTGCAACCACAGTGTTGCAATAAATTTAAAAGCTTCCTTCAGACTAGAGTTCTTGTAGTGCTAATGTTTCATTCAATTTCTACAAGGTAGCAATAGTGTTTCAACCAATCACAGTAATAACACTGATATATCCTTCAAGTAGAAATTGCATTTATATTCTACATATGTTGAGGCTATGTTGTTAGATATGTATAGATTCATAATTATTATTGTTTCCTGATAACATTTTTTGTCATTAAGTAATGACCTTCTTTATCTCTAGTATTGTGTTCTGTCTTGATGTATATTATCATCTAATAATATTTTCATTCTTTTATTTCAAACCTGTTACATTACATTTGGAACTTGTCCCCTATAAACAGAATAAAGCTTGATATTTTTTTAAAATATATTTTATTGATTTTTCACAGAGAGGAAGGGAGAGAGATAGAGAGTCAGAAACATCGATGAGAGAGAGACATCGATCAGCTGCCTCCTGCACATCTCCCACTGGGGATGTGCCTGCAACCCAGGCACATGCCCTTGACCGGAATCGAACCTAGGACCCTTCAGTCCGCAGGCCGA